ATGAAACCTTCCTTAGTTTTGCATAATCTCTGAAACATTTAAGACGACTCTCGCATCCGTTTGTAGTTAAACTTGCTATCATTCAGGAAATCAGAGGAACGGGATTCCAGCCAGGCACTTCCCTCCTTACATCCTCATAGTAAACCTCTATCACTCTTCATCTCAATATCGGAAACTTTTTAAGCCACCCTCGCATCCGTTTTTATAAATCAGTTATAATACCGCACTTGCACTTTATCGCTTTGCCATTTGGCCATTATCGCTGTTAGCCCAGTTAGCTAGTCGCATCCCGTTTCAATTGCTTTGCATTTGACTTAATGACTCGCTGGCACGTTAACTCTCTCGCGATATTTTTTTCCACCTCTCAGACAAATTGCAGTCGATTAATTTGCAATGCTTTTTTGTTCAGCCGTTGCACAAGTCCGGCTTGTGCAAAAGTGTGGAAAGTGCAGTTTGCATTGCCGTTATTGTTAACACACAAAACAAAAGTTAAGCTAATGAAAGATGCCGAGAAATTGTTTGGCTTTTGAATCGAATGGCAATTCGAGGAAGAGTTTAAGAGGCTACAAACTGGTTTCAATTATATTTAACTGTTAGCCAATGCAAACATCGTTGCAATTAACAGGCATTAGCATAGATTAGACTTATAAATAGTGCAACTGAGATTACGATACTCAAAAGTCAAGGCTGCACAGCTATATTGAACCCGGAACTCTACTAAAAATCTAAAGCTGAAAACTAATCAAAGCACAAATTACAAAAAAAAAAAAATTATTTCTTATTTCAGCAATTCAATTTTGTTGCTTTAAGTCAAGAGTTCATGAAAAACACTTTCAAAGCATTTCAATGAACATCATAATTATACATAATTAGTAATTTAACGAACTTTGGAAGAATCTTGAAGCTTATGTAAAACCAAAAAAATATGAATGAATATGATAATCAAATTTTTGTTTGTAATAAAGCTGACGTCTCAATTAGTTGAAATCTTTTCTTGTCTACTCTTGAAAAAATACGTGAAATACTATTTAGGAGCTGAGTTCATAATCTTATTCATAATCTATGTTTTCAATAAATTGGTGCTTAGCTTGAATGTTTGAATTTGGCTTAAAAGTCAAAGCAAATTATCGATAATAATCGTTATTAACAAATTGATTGAGGTTATTGAGAACAAAATAATGAACTTGTTCTGCGAACGCCAAGTGAAATATGAAATTTAAGGAAAAATATAATTATGTATGGGATCTATTTACAATGTCTAGCTTTAAATGTTTATATATATCGATATTTATATATACAAAGAAACGCTGGGGTAGATAGTCAGATGAGCTAAGCTCTGAAATGAAAGATTAAAGAGCTACTATACCTTGAAATATTATAACTATTTTAATACTATTTTTAATGAAATTTTCCAAATTAACTCAAGTTTTGGTATAAAGTTTGTTTAAGTATGTGTGAGAGTTCGTTTTCACTCAAAAGTTCTGTCCAATTCGAATCATTTTGATTAAGAACATGTTATAAGGCATACATAGATATGTAACCTCTACTTATCTAACTCGATTATGAATTAATTTTAGTTATTGCCTTAATCATGTACAGACTTTGCTGGTGAAAATATAAAAAACTTTCCATATTTTTAGCGGAAAAGGCGGAATATATATGAAAAAGCATGCATACATACATATATAGTAGGCATACACATATATTATATATAAGGCATCACAACTCAAGAGTCAGTTTACTTCACCTTACCAAAAAGCCATCAACAATTTTCTTTTCATTAAACAACTCTCGTATAATAGCATCGACTCTTCATGTCCCTGAAACTGTTTCACTTTGCAGTTGCTGCTGCTGCTGCTGCTGCTGTTGCATAATGGCAACACGCAGATGCACAGACGCGCAACTAAATGCAACTTAATGCTCCATTGACTGACAACAACAACAACAACCAACAACCAGCAACAACAACCAGCAACAGTGAACAACAAACCACAATTAAGCATCATTGAGATCTGGTGTCCGGTTGCCTTTGCATTGACTGATCCGTTTTAGTGCAGTTAACAATTTTTACTGTTAACAGCTAATAGTTAACCAATTGTTGAAGTCGAATATCTCGCTCTAGCTCCCACACTCCGTCTCCCTCACTCGCTGTTGGCCATATCGAATTGCCACCGTTTTTATGGTTATGGCCAAACAACTTTTCAATTTTGTTCACAACGGTTCACACAGTTTCCATTACTAGTTTTACAGTTCACATCTTTGATCATAAATTCATATTTTAGCACTCGTTCGCAGGCATATTGGCTTTTGTGAAACTTGTTGAGATGACAATATGATACAATATTATATATGTATAGCCCTATTTTAGGATAAATGGCATAAAGTCTTAAGTTGACGGCTGTATAGAAGCTATCGACTTGAAATTTGCAATCTATATAAACTTCCCTTGATATAGTCGACTCGTAAAAATGATAAGATTTATAGCGAGGCATTGGAAATTGTAAAGAACAAAATTTGACTCGTCTATAGATCGCCTCTATGAATAAATTGAAAAATGGCAAATTTAAAGTCAACTGAGGAACGTGACAAGTCAAAAAAATAACTATAACTTCCACTATTTTAGAGCTACAATCAATTATATTTACAGGGAATTGAAGTGCTCAAGAGATAAACCCTATATACAATATATAGAAACTTGTTTATTTTTAAAACCTAGCCGGGTATTCTGCAGTCAGTAGAGACATTCTTACTTATCTTGTTTTCTATGTTCAACAAGTTGCTAACATTTAAATCATTTTTTGTAGGCGTGGCAGCTGCTGAAAACCAATGAGAGTGAACCCTAACCTTTGGCTAATACCAAAGTAAATGCTCCAGTTTAGGCGAACAACAACAACAGCAACAACGGCAACGGCAACTGTTAACAACAACAAATCGCAATGGCAAATTAGAATGGCCCAGAAGCGGCTGCAACTGGTCCGTGCAGATCGAGACGGAGGTCAGCCGGAAAACACATGAAAAATGCAGCCGCGAAACGCCATTTAAAAAATAAAAATGTTGACAGTCATAAAAAACAAGAACAACAATAACAATATGACAACAACAATAATAATGCAAAACCAGTTCGAGCAACAAGTGCAACTCTGTTTAGTCGTCCACATGCCCAGCTCACAGCTCAGACTCGGACATGGGCCACGCAAAACGCAATCAGTGCCAACCGTGGTTCGAATCCCACATGGCTGAACGCAATTAACATTTAAACAGTTGCACTTTTTTGTAGGTTAAAGAGCAGCCCATTAGAGCCGACGATTATCTCTGTCTGTGATTTGAGCCAAGAACTAGACTGAACTTGATGCACTTGGGGCGTATTACTTTTTACAATTGCATATTGATCATCTAAAGTAATTAATGCTAAATTTGTTGAGGTGTAAAAGGAGCGAATGTAGAACTAGAGTAAGTTGACAATAAAAATAAAAGAAGACTTGTTGAATAGAAGAAGGAAAAATAGAAATTTAAAGAAAATAAAAATAAAATAAAGATGTATAAGAGCTAAAATCCCATGCTGATGATAAGATAAGATGATAAGATAAAATATTAAAGAAAGAAAAGAAAAAGAAAATAAAGAACAAAAATTAATTTATTAAATTAAATTAAATTAAAATTTTTGATGAAAATTTATCCAACTACAATCTTAAGCATATTACGATAATACAATATTTATAGCCACATATCATAATCACAGGCATGCCCTTTATCAAAAGCTCATAATTTTATTTCTATATCCCATATCCCATAAAATGATAATTTTTAATAATATTTAATTAGTTTTCAGTTTAACGAAATTTAAATATTGACCGATGATCACAAAAATTTTAGTCTCTATCACACAATACTTACTTTATCTTTTAAGCCTTTACCCTTCTGATCGATGTGCTAACTAAATATACCATAAACTAAGAGCACTTGTCTAATAAATTAAGTATATCTATTACACTTTACGTATATTCATGTAACAACTAGAAAATACTATAAATAAATAAGTATATATATATATTCTCTACTTATAAAATATTCAAGTCATCTCATATGATGGAATTTAAGCGCTAGTTTAACAAATTGCCTTGACAACTTGATTAAGTGTAAGTTTAGCAAACTGTTATAGTAGATACGAGTAGGGTATGTATTATACTAATAATAATTTTGCAGTTAGAATTTATAAATAAATTTTGTATTATACAATTTCAAGCTTTAAGTTATTTAAGGAAATACCAAAACAAATATACATATATATGCATATGCATATATACATATTGTTCAGATTATTAGTTTGTTTTAGAGCTTGGAGCTCTATAATATTCATATGGCTGCCTTCATGGAAATGATAGTGATGCCCTTCTAAAGTTTAAATGAATAAAATATTTATATACATATATATTTCAGTAAATTGCCAATATTGACTTTTTTTTATAGTATTATTAAGATTCTCTATATTTTTATTACATTTCGCAAAAGTTAATAAAATTTCTATATAAATTTCTATAAATTTCTAGTACATCTTACACCACTGTGCAACTGTCTGCGTTTTTACAGTTGGTTTTTCTCGAAACCTTTTTCTATGGCCACTCTGTGCCATTCGTGTTGTTTCTGTTGTTGTTGTTGTTGCGGTTGTTTTTCGAGTGCTTGGCTCATTGATGACTGTTTGCATTTTGCACTCCCGTTTTAAAGTTCAAAGGTGCCCCGTCTTTGATTTTTTTTTTTTTTTGTTTTTTGGGCTTTCTGCTTGGCGTGAGAACCAAAAAGTAAAAAGCACAAAAAAGCAAAACTAAGCCTCACACAGTTTTTTTTTTGCGGTTAGCCAGATACAGATACATGTGTGCCGATAGAGTTGCAGAGACAGGTACAGCAGCCACTCGATAATATATACATATGTATGTGTGTATGCATATGCATGTCAGTTAGATAATGGATTTACGATCCATAAAAATTGATTGTTGCTAACTTACTTTAGCGGCCATTTGTGACTGCGCAAAAGGTGTTCAAAACAGAGCCGCAGCCGAAGTGCAGCCGCATTTCGGGAATCGAATCGCCAGTCCGCCAGCTGTTCAGCAGTTCGGTTTGATTAGAACTTCTCGATGTTCTGTTTCTTTTTTTTTTTTTTTTTCTGGTTTGTTTGTTTTCTTTTTGCCTTGCTGCTTTGAATACTACGCCGAGCTTTCGAGCTAGTCCAAGCGGAAGCGGGATGGCAATAGTGGGTAGTACGACGATAGTATGAGACACGACGTGAGCGAAGATTTAATGAAAGAAGACTGAACTACAGCAACAAAATTTGCATGTTTCATACATATATATAGCTCGAATTTTATATAATATTTTTATCATATACATATATTTGTAATTTTTGCAAAAAAAATATATATTTTTTTACATCGTATCACTCTTCACTTGGTTTGATTTGAATCTCGTTTCGTTTCGTTTCATGTATTTATTTATTTATTTATGCATTTGACCCGCTTTAAAGCTTTGCCCGAAAAGTAACAAAAACAAACTCGCAACAACACAGCTGTTTGTTGTTGTTGTCGTTGTTGTTGACTTTGTTTCTCGTTGGTCTTGTTGTTGTTGCTGTTGTTAAATTCTATTCAACTCTTTTAGCTGTTTTGCATATTTTTTTCTTGTTGCACTTGTTTATTTTGTTGTCGCTTTTCAGACACACCAATACCAACACTATCACATAAACGCATACACACACAAACACTCACTAGCGCAACTCTTGGCTAAAATATTTTCATGAATTTTGTGAAATTTTTCAGTTGCGCGCGCGCGTTTAGCACCCACGAATTGTTATTGCCGCACTCTTCGCGCCCACTGCCTTGGCGCGCTCACTCTATCTCTCTCTTTCTCTGTCTTTCTATCGGCCGCTACCGTTCGCAATCGTTGCGCTGGCGTTTGCTTAGGTGGGAGGGGTGGGCGTACAAAACTAAGCAGCGCGCGTTCCACGTTTTTCCAACTGTTGGCCACAAGCTGCGCGTGTCGACTGAGCGCCGAAGCAGGTGCGCCCTCGGTGCTGCGCTTTGCACTGAGCTTTTGAGCGGAGCTTTAAAGCTTGTGCATTGTCGTGCTCATTTGGGATTGCGCTGAATAGCTTTAGGCATTGGCCGCAGAGCGCCATCTAACGAGTTTTTATTTCCTCAACAACTTTCGATCAGTTGGGTGGCAAAATAAATAAATAGGGCTAGTTCAACGGACAAAACGGAATTCTATTAATTCACATGCTGTTGCTTATCAAATTATGGTTAATTAATTAAGTAAATATTAAGAACAAATCGTAAAGAAATTAAGATTGGGCACCGAAAACGGCTTTGTATTAGCAAAGTTCTTAGAATAGTTTGTCTCTTGTTCTGCTTCTCTGCTCTGTTTTTGTTGCTTAGTTCCTATTAAGAATAGCAGCTGTAACTACTCTTTACACTATTTTTTCTACTACTACTTTTAAGTCTACGACGCGTCCTGCTCTTCATCCACTGTACATTGTGTTTTTTTCCATTTATAGAAAATTATGCCTTCTGCTACTGCTCATTCAGCTACAACCACTCCTTCATTTCTCAGCTGAAGAATAACTACCATTCTAATTCTCATTTCTCTTCTATTTGCCTTTCCTTTAACTTCTCTCTTAAGTAGTCAGCTCTGAACAACTACATTAAAGAAGAGATGTCTTTCAGAATAGCTCAAGAGCTTACATAAACTCATGAGAATTGCGTAGTAGGGCATGCTTGAATTGCAGCATTTTTTAGGTAAGCGTTATGTAAGCATAACATTTGGTTAAGATGAAATAAATTCCTACATAGGATTACAAGTTTTACTTTACATATGTTGTATATGATTTCAAATTGTTCTGTTCGTGTTCATTTATAATAAAACTTAAAGTCTTATAAGTCTTGAGGTAGCCTCACATTAATTACAACTCCCCAATTCTGTAAGCCTCAAATCGGATAAAGCCCTTATATGTCGCTCTTCCTCAAACCTTATAGATAACCCTAAATCTATTACTTTAGATGCATATCGGACTCATTAACGCACATGCCGAAAGAAATGCGGAATTTCGGGCGTGGGCTTGTGTGGGGCCCAAATGATTTATGCAGGGGTCTCTCAGCGAACACCTTAAAAATCAGCCGAAAAAAAAAGAGTTAAAGTGAGGTGCGTGCCGCCTAATGTCGAATCGTAATGGGGAATTGAGTTCGGCTCGTTATGAGTGAGTGAAAGAGAGGGTGAGAGAGAAACGGTGAGAGACTGAGAGAGTGAAAGAGCGCGAGGGGGGTTGGGTAGAGGTAGAGCACTGTCCGGCAGTTAATACTCCTCGACTTTTGTTGATCTTGAGAGGGAATACCAACTGTTGATTTATCTCTCGGTGAGTCGCTCGGCATCTGCCGCTGCCACTGTCGACGCAGCAGCAACGCCGGCGACTTACTGACCAAGTTTATAAAACTTTGGGCCAAAATGCAAGCGTCGCACAGTTGCTTCGACAACGTTGCACGCGCAGCCGTCGCGTAACCCTTCAAGGCAGTACAATACCTATATATATTGTATATATATATATATATATATAGCTATATGTATATAAGTGTGTGTGTATATATAGAAGCGAATACAAATGAAATTTTGTCGTGCGGCCTTTGAAGAGCGTTGAAACAGCAAAATAAAACGGGTTGCAGGGCCCAGGGCCAGGCATTGCGCTTTATCAGCCAACAGCTGAACGAGTAAAAAAAACAAAAAAAAAACAACTCAGAAACAAATAAACATCATCAACGAAAACGAAAGTCTGAAGCAACTAAAATCAAGTAAAGTTCATGAGATAAAAGACACGCGGATCTTGAGATCTCGAGCTCAATACGGCACAAATGTAACACCTGATGCGTACTCGAAGACAAAGTGAAAATTGGTCGCATGCCAAAGTGCAAAAGAAATTAAAGTAAATCTGGAAAAAAATCCCAAATAAATTTCTGATTATATACTCAGATATCAAATTTCATATATATCATAAAAGAGAAGCAAGAGTAAGTGCTCTTAAGTGTTCTGTGCTTCAATGTAAACAAAATGTACGAAAAAGTTGTTAATTGAAAGTTTTTTTTTTTTTTTTTAAATAACATTTATCGACAAATTACGCTCAACTAAATGCGCTCGCTCTCTCACTCGCTCTTTCTCTGTGATCTGCACAAGTCAATATTATATAAGACCCCCCTCGGCGCTTCTCATTACCACACATGCGGAGAGCCAACATCTGCCAAGAAGCAAGCCAAACAAAAACGCGCTGAGGAAAGCGAAATATGCAAAACGCGTTAGCTATGCAAATTTCGTTTTTTAACTCATTTTTTATGTGACAATTTCTGAATGCGTTCAAAACTGTTGCGAGTCGAGTCGGCTTACAGCGCACGACCTTAGTCAATGCCAGCTGTTAAATTTCCCTGCCAGCAAAATTGTTCTCGGTCAAGCAACAGCAGCAACAACAACGCCAGCAACAACAACAACTCACGCTCTTGCTGTAATAAGCCATTAAACGGAATTATTACGTGTCTCCTCCAGCTCAAGCGCCAAAATGAAATCGAAAGCCCAGCAGGGCGAACCCAAAAACCAGCTCAAACCTGAGCTTCAGTTTGAGTCCAAGTTTGAGTCACGATTCAATGGTCAGTCGAGCTCAAAACTTGTCGGGAGACTCACTACTCTTGCTAGTGATGTTGTTGTTGTTGTTGCTGCTGCTGCTGCATATTTTTATTGTTGTCAATTGAACCTTAGTCGTTGCGTTGGCTACACGAAATTGGGTTGAGTTTGATTATTGTTGTTGTTATAAATACCCAGCAGCTATCGAAAATGGGGCAAGCCATGGGGTAGATTAACAGTTCGAAAGGAGAATAAATAAGGATAAATAGAAAATATACAATTAAAAACAAAATATTTATATTGTTCTTATAAAACAATGTGGAAAATAAACAAATTAATACAAAACAAGCAAAAAAAAATAAAAATAAAAATTAAAATTAAGAAATATTAGATACAATATTATCAATTTTTTCATATATATAAAAATGAATGCTTTTTGCTTTTCTTACAAAAAATGAACTTAAATATTAAAATAAATTTATATAAAATAATATAATACAATATAATAACATAATATGCCTTTTCTTACAAAAAATTAACTTAAATATTAAAGTAAATTTATATAAAATATAATACAACAAAATTCCAAAACAAAACAAAAATATTAAAAACAAAAATTCTATATATTTCACAAATAAAATTTTGAAATTTAAAAATAAATTAATATTGAAAATAATAAATCAGAAAATTATATTCGTAAATTTAAAACATAAAATTTGCTTATACTTTCACCAAAATATGCACACTCAACATAGAGTTCATTAAATTCAATAATTTTATAATTTAAATAAATGTTAGAGTAGCAATAAAAAATTCCTTGAACAACATAAAAGTTAATAAATAATTAACAGCATTATTATTTTCTCTACATATTTTAGAGTCAGATTTCTACAAGATGCAAGGTAAACTCAAATACAGGGCATTTCACAGTCCATCAACTGCTAGTCAAGCTAAACTAATTGCTTTTTTATTTTGCCTTTGCTTGAGCTTTTGTTTTTGTTTATCTTTTTGTGCGTTCCGAAAACAAAACTTTTACTACGTTCGGCTGATGCGTTTGTGAAAGAGTCAATAAGTAAATAAATAATAAAATAGATATATATATAGAAATGTGTGTGAAATAGTCAATAATAATAAATATTATATATAGATATCCAGCTGTGCGTAAACCCAAGTAAAAATATGATTAGTTCAAGTCAGTGTTGCATAACGAACAAAAGGAGCAGAGCCACAGGCGAAGGCAGCAAATGCAGCGGCTCAGGCGGCGTATGCGCGATATTCTAATTAGAGGGCATGCCAGCGAGGCGGCGTGGGCGTGACAGGCAGTCAACAAATATTACCCAATAATACAAGTTTATATATATAAATATATATATTTACTTTTTTGTTTACTTTCAGTCAAAAATAAATAAATAGAGGAAAAGCGAATTGGTGTCGACTTAATTAGCACAGTTCACAAAGTTAATTGAAATACATATATACATATTATATATATATGACTATTACCAATAGCTAGTTGGCTACTCGGTCGACCTTCAGACTAGCCCAAAAAGCCAACAGCAAACGGGTTAAGCCAACAGACAATCATCGTAAGAGCTGCGACACACACAGCAGCATAATCACAACAACAAATAAAGCAAGGTAACAACAGTTAGACAACATGGAGCTGATGGAGCTCATGGTGCGCACCTTGGGGCTGTTGTCTTTAATGGGCGTGGCCAAGGGCGCCATCAACCAGAGCAACACAGCGTCGCAACTCCAATGGCAACTGCAGCAACAACAACTGCAACAACAACAGCAGCAACAACAACAACAGAAATTAAAGTTTTCTATCGATTTTCCATCGATCGTCGACGATTTCTATGAGCCGCATCTAACACGCACTTCGGTCATCTTTGGCCTGACCAAAGTTGTCAATGCCAGCCAGGTGAATGCTCAGTGCAAGGCGCACTTGAGGCAGGTGCAACGGGGCATACTCAGCAAGCAGCCATGGGCTATGAAAGGTGAGTGATTGACTGATTGATGAGGTGATTGATTGATTGATAGCTACGATGCACTTAAGAAGAGTAGAGAAAGTAGGAGAGGTAGTACACATAGAGTTGGAGAGGTAGTAGAAATAGAGCTATGCAAGCTGATTGATTGATTGATTGACTGAGTGATTGATTAATGTTGAGCTCAGATTTAAGATTGGAGATGGCTAGCTACAACCGGATGTCTTTGTCTGTCAATTAAAGCGCATCAGCTGATTGACTGAATGATTGATAGACTGACTGAGTGCTAGACTGACTGACTGACTGAACGATTGATAGACTATGATGTATGCTATAGCCGTATAAATGGATCATGAAATCGTTAGCTGGATTCTATATCAAATTGTT